TGTTGGGTTCTTTAAAGCTGTTTAACTATTTTGTACATGATTTGAATGACGTTGTGTAAATATACTTCATCAGTATACGTGTTATTGATGAAGTATTTACACAACGCCATTCAAATCATGTATGTCGTTGTGTAAATATACTTCATCAATACGTTTTAGTTTCACATCGCTGAAAATAGTGCAGATGATTGTTCTGTTGGCGTCAATATTTTTTTTAAGTTTCAATAACCACAACTAGTTTCTTAACATGTACTCAACCGCAATCTACATCATTGGCCCGCTTCGCTGCCAGAGGGCTTTCAAAATCTTTTCCAACAGGTCATGAAACAGTTTAGTATTCTTTAAATTAATTCAAGGCTATTTCCTTCATTTAGGTATACATTTACGTAAGCTTTGTACCAGAGTACGATGCACTACAAATATTTTCGGAACATACTTTAGGGCCTGAATTTTGTGTAGGTGAATAAGTTGTTTGGAAGCGAAGTATGGCGGTTTGAAAGTTGGTGAATTTATATACGTTTCTCGTAGAATGGCTTTCATAAAATTACTAAATTTTAGGGTTTAGAGTTTAAATATTGAACACAAACTTCAAAAATAGTAACTTTAAAGGTAATACTTTATATTTATGATATAATAACATTTTGCTCAAATCTCATGTTATACTGTCTATTTGGCCCTTTTTCTCGAAACCTGGTGATGCGAGTTTACAGCCCTTTTGTGGTCTTGGGTCACAAATATGAATACTTTGAGCCTGAAATCGGCACAAAAAATATAAGAACGCTGAGCCTGGACAAAATTCGAAAATCTGTCCAGATTTCCCCATTTCTTTTATTTTATAAATGATATTCAACTGGCTAAATAATTGTCTTTAATATTAGGCCTATTTCTATTTCTATAGTTCGTGGGTTGACAAAGTCAAAGGACAACATATTAAAATCAATCTATACCTTCAGGACAACCGTGGTCTGGGTTTTCATCTTTCTTTTGGTTCGCATACTGTTCTTCTAAATCGGGTGGTAGGCATTCATTCCTATCTTTACGGTATTTTTTGTTGACCCAACCATCCAATGTTTGGCAAGATTTTGCAACAGCTTTTCGCTTTTTAATCTCCTGCTCCTTTCTCCCCATTTTTTAACACTTGCACACTCAAGCGTCGAGTATACTCGTCTCAGGATATTTCTGAGAGCGCTAGGAACGATAATACTTGTCTAAACCGGGGTGTCATTCTAGCATTTTGGCTTCATTGCTATACACTGACATGCCGGCTGGTAGTTAGGGGAAGATACACCTAGACGATAACGTGCATATAACGTGTGTATGTTTGTTGTGTTATGTTGCTGGCAGTACAAAAGATTGCGCGTGTGGCGAGTCAGCGCTCTAGTATTCTTATTGTAACTCATTTGTACATTCATACAACTTAATACTGTACTTTATGTGATTCATTTTGTAATGATTCTGGGAACAAGGTCACATTTTTTTGGTTATAATTAGTGGACGTTTTTCGATTTGGGGGGAGGGGGAGTGTGCGTACTCATGACCTAAAATTTTAAAATAGTTTTCTTTTTAATCCCTGTTTAAAAAATAATTTTGACAAATTTATGGGCCTGGGGCCGACAGGGTCCCTTTAAGCCGCTACTGTGCTGTTATGATCAACAAAGCCCTGTTGGTCAGGGTGCTAGATCGAAGCCCATGAGGGATGGGACCCTGCGGACCGCGCACGAGAGCGCATGCGTTAAGTACTACGTCTAGCTTAAATACAAGTAGAGTGCTATGTCAACGACATACCAGTCTTGTTTATCAGTTTTCTCAGATTCATTAATACGAAATTAAATCCATACAATAACAAATTCATATTATTTAACATCACCAGAAACGATAAAAACAATTATACAGTGGATGCTTAAATATTGTTACCACCAATGTAGGCTTTGGAGACCAGCTGCAAAATGTGTGACGTACTCGGCCAAGTGAGGTACCGTACTTACCGTTCTGTCCTTCAGTCAACACTAGAAATATTGTTAATATTCCAATTAAATTGTTGAACACCTCTCGAGAAAACATATTCACTGTAAACTTGACACTACGAACTATCTATTGTAGTAACAATTGATTTCCAAAAAAAGGAATGGATTTAAAAAGGAAATGACGGGCGGAACTATTCCCAATGACACACATGCAAGATAAAACCAAAAAACAGACACAAATAATAACAAAATACGATATATCTTTTAATCATACGTCTTGATATATCTTGGAATACGATCATTCTTCATTGTTTTTTGAAATTTATATTCGCATAAAAGTGATAGCCAGTGAAAAGGTGTGTATGTCGTTAAATACTGTTATAGTAAGGTAATCTTTCAATCTATATAATAAAGGCTTAATTATATATTCTTTAACTTTGGTTTCCGCAATCACCGATGACATAATGGAAGAGTTGTCCTCTATGTCATACTCGGAAACGGAGGACGCGCGCAATCGCAGAATTGGATGTGAACGAACTGTTATATATAGTATCAGCTTTTCTCTTTATAGTTCCGTCTAACCATATTTGACGCTTCAAGCAAGAAACAACACATCCTTTCATTCAAGCAAAAAACAACACATCCTTCCGCGACGATTAGGCACTAGATTAGTCTACAACAAAATCGAAAAAAAGGGGCGTGCCATATTTTATCATCGTTGTCAAGGTATCCTCCATCTGATAATTAATCACATCAAAATCTGTCTTCTATCAAAAGCATGAATGGCAGCGACCTAATTTCATTTTAAAAAGAGCAAAATAATTATGAAAACTAATGTATGAAAGCCTCATAATTGTCAGTTCCTGCGTTGGGCTTCGGATAAAATTATTTAACTGTCATTTGCATTTTTTTTTAATGTCATTTTTTCATTAATTCATTCAAATTTCAGCCATAAGTACCGGTACAAAACAATCAAATTTTAAAAAGAGCAAGGGAGAACCAAACAGAGCACAGAAAAAAAAGAAGTTCTACATCCTACAGTATTACATCTACAATAGAGTGACCAACTACAAATATTATCTACATTAAAATTAGTAGAGTGGCGTAGGGGGATGGCCGGTACAGCATGTGCAAAGAACTGGAGCCCAGGGCTATTAGGGGCGCATTCATAAGGCCTTAAAATAATGATTAAAAAAAATCCAACGTAAAATCTTTGAAGAAAAGAACCGGGCTTCTCAATAATAGTTTTTAGCGGAGTAATTATTAGTTACTGTGTTAATTTTAATTCAGTGGTGGATTTAAGTAGACCCTTGTCCTAGAATTTTTATTCTTTTAATTGAAAAAAGAAAAAAAACGGCTCCCGAAAATTGTTTAAGTCTTGAGGCTTTCGGGAATTTTCCTACACCCTAGTGGAAATTTACTGTTCCCAGCACACCATTCCCCCTCACAAGCCTTAACTCAGGCCCTCGGTTGACGCTTCACATCAAAGGGCCAGGCAATTAATCTTGCTTTTGGGCCCGTTCTCACCTACGCTGCTGAGTAGAATTGGTAACACCAATCAATTCCGTAAAGGTTAATTATCTAATAAAAGTGACCCATTTTTTAAATAGCAATCGAGAGGGCAAGGCCTACTTGGAATACACTATTGTTCATCGACAATTATGTAAATTACAAAAATATCAAAATTATAGCTGCGACATCTATCTTTGATCGTCCATTCAGGAGTGTCAATAAAGCTTAACAACTGACCAATCAGAATAGGTTAGGAATACGCGTGTGTTGTGAGCTGGTAGATGTTAGAACAGGTTGTTGCAATTGAGACAAGATAGACATTATAATATGTAAATAATTAGCACAAAATATTCTCAAACACATGAAATAATCAGGTATGAATGAATTAAGGTCATTAATCATGCTAAGTAATCAGCGGTGAAGCCAGAAATTTGCCGACAAGGGGTCCGACGTGTCCGATGGAGGGCTCCGAGCCAAGGGGCCGACGAAGCCTCGGTCGACGTCCCAAAATAAAAATCAACACAAAATTTTTAATAAAACTATCCTAATTCAATATAGAGCACTGATACACAAAACATCATCGTATGTTTTGCATTATCTTGATGTAGGCCTATATATCATCATCATCATCACATCTTTTTTAAAATGCAATTAAATCGCTCTCATATTTTAATGTTGAATAAAGGAAACAGTTTTAGTTAGGTCTGCCAATACCATAATATATGACATAGAATGTATTACTGCATGCAACACACGAAGCAGTCTTGTGCTCCATTTAATTAGAAAAATACAATTTTCAACGTCCGTCTAAAACTATTGGCATTCAATACGGAGCACTGAACACAGAACATCTGCTATTAATGTATATAATTATTTTGATGTCCGCAGTCTGTAAAAAGACTAAAATCACTATACATTTTAAAGTAGTAGAAATTTTCAGTGTTGTCTAACAAAACCATGCTATTTTGGTGTCTAATACCATGCACTCAACAGGGGCCCCAATTTTGAAGAATCCACATCCGGGAAATATGTTTAAATGAGTTTTCTTATGACATCTATATTTTGCTTGCATGGTGATAACCATTAATGATTGGCACTAACTGCTGCAGAGACAATTGATAATACAGTATAAAAACTTGTGAATAATGCAAATATCATCATGAATTTGCGGGAAATTGTTTATTTCGGGAGGTTCGTGCTTGCTCGCGGGCCAGAATGAGTGAGTCCTTCTTGCCATTTTCCAGGAGATTTCATTCCGGGACACTGCAGGATACTTAAGACTCATACGCACTAAATGTGGTCTTTAGATTTCTTTATTTAAAGGAAAATGTAAAAATAAATATATTAAATGTATTAAAATGATTGTACAGTAACTGCATGCTCTTTATTTATTCTTAATTGAAAATTTATTGGTAGAGACAGCAACTTGTCTTTCCATTAAAATATTACTAACATAGAAAATTACATTAAGATCACTATTTATCTTATAGCGGTCTTTACTTGAAGGGAAAATTTTCAGTTGGGTCCACCAATAACCATAGTCTCTAAATAGAAGAAATCGGAGGGAACAGCTAATGATAGCCACCGAACGGGGGGGGGGGCGCAAAAATGTGGTCTTTAATTGGAGGGAGAACTGTACTTATTTTAATAAATATACACTAATACCTATATAATGTGGATTTATTGTTAATGTTCATATCACATTGTCTTTTAAAAGTTGTATAGACCTATATATTTTTTTAACCCACCATGCGCTTGTTTTTGTATTGCCATGTAGGCCTTTATTAAAAATCCTTATAGAGGTATAAATATAAAATAATAAATAACTATTAAAAAATTTTGGCAAAGGTATAATGGCCAAGCCAGTCCTGATTAGGCCTATACAATTTAAACCCTTAAATTAAAAGTGAAAACATTAGTTTTTTTTTAATTATTATTATTATGCATGTGCTTTTTCCCGGCTGATTATCCATTTTTTCAATCATGGTGAAAAAAATGTGTAGCACCCCACCACCCACCCATACTCACTCTTATTAAAATGGCCGGACCACTTGCAAAATGCTTCCGACGGCTATGCAGGGGGACCATTACACAATTGCATCATATCGATATAAAAATAGTGCAGTTTAGCTGATTTATAAACCGATGGGCCAAAACTACTTGTACACAACAAAGTAGGCCTAATACAACTTGTGGATTCTAAAATAGCTTAAATAAGCAGGATAATAATGTCTAACATTTTTAAAATATTGGTCGTATACTTTAGTAAATATATAGCACACTACTATCCTACGCGGAGGGAGGTCAGCCATGGCGAGAAACTGCGGCCAATAGAATTCTAACAATATTATTACCTCCGCCAAAGGAGGTTTTGTGTTTACCGTTTTCTGTCTGTCTGTCTGTCAGCAAGATTACGCAAAAACTAAAGAATAGATCGTCATCAAATTTAGTGAAATGGTACATAAAAAATATAGTAATAAAAAGTCAAAGTCAAAGAACAAGGGCAAGGTTACGGAAATTCCATTTTTTCCCTTGAGTATAAAAGAAAAATAATGGCATCGTCCCTCGTATTCAGACAGCACTCAAGAAAATAATGTGCCTGAATACGACGGGCGAATCCATTATTTTCTTGAGGGTATGCTGCAGTACGCTTAAGAAAACAATATGCTTGAATACGACGGGTGATTCCATTATTTCCTTGAGGGCATGCTGCGGTTTTGCCCATCATACACGCCTGTGTACTGTTGGTATTCAGGCACAGGGCGGAGTTATATACAGTACTCTATGGAGTGACTGCTCTAGTTTAATGTAATAAACTACGAAAATAAGAACTGCAAATTCCCGACTCAATATATAATATTTTAATATAAGTTACAACATAGCTTCATATATTAATACATAAACATTTAAGAAAACTTGGTGATCAACATGTAGCAAAAGCTAGCGTATTTAAAGTCATGGACCTCTCCGCTAAGCCCCGCCCCTTGGATATTGTCGGTATAAGGTCCCACATATCGACTGCTTAAACGTACGTACACAAACAAGAGAGTTTGTGTCTTTAATTTAATCCACAATTCATATAAAAACTGTATTACCTAAGTTCTGTTGATCTCTACTTGTGTACCCTTGCCTCTGAGTTGTCTCCTAATTTTTGGAAACATTTCAGCATTTTTCCAAATTTAATTCGAAATAAGAAAACTTTAATTATGAAAAAGGGTGGCTTACAAATTTCCGATGCTAAATTTAAACTTAATAATAGTAAATTAATGCTCTATTACCCTAGCCCTACCTACCATGAAAATTAATCAAAGGAATAGTGACCCAGTGTTTCAATTAGAAATTTTACAGCCGTACATGGATCATTTCTTTCTTCTATTCTTCTTTCTTTCTTTTTTTTTCAACGGGTCGCAAGAGAGCCTTCGAATTGTTCATCGGTGCCTCTTAAAAACTCGTCACTATTTCTCTCTTCTCGCTCTTCACGATAATACCCTTCATGGTCTGATATTTCTTCACCATCATACACCGCTCCGTATTCATCCCGCTTTCTCCCATCCGAATCGTATCCTTCCCATTCTTGGTATTCATTTCCTCCAATCACATGCCCTTCTAAATCATCTCCGTCTTTGCTCTCTAACTCTCGGTCCGCGTCAAGTACAATACGTTCTATCGCATGTCGAAACGCAACACGATGTATAAAGTTAACGAGTAAAGTAAATATAAGGAAGAGTGCAAGAAATCCTAGGGATGTTGCAAGGATGATCGTCTCAATCGATACTTTACTCAAGTCGATTTCTCCATCGGTGCCGACTATGTAAGAAAAGAAAAACAGTATGTAAAAATAAATAGGGCCTACTATCTAACAAAGCTCGAACATTCATTGATATACTTTGTTATTCAGGGGTGGCACCAGCGGGAGTGGGGAAGGGCCCCCGTCAGGGAGTGCTTCCCCGCCCCCCCCCCCTTGGGGAAAAAGCACAATTCGTCGAGAAGAAAAAAACATTATATGTATTTTCTACATATTAGTTTAGACTCTAAAAATCGATTAAATACGTTTCTGAAATCCCTAAATTGTCAAATTTTCGAACTTTCGAACTCTTTTAATCGAAGCTCGACCACGCCCACTTTTCTTTCGTTTGGGAAATTCCCCCCACCCCCGTTGGGGACCTCGCCCCACCCCCATCGGGAAAATCCTGGCCCCACCCCTGCTTTTATTGCAAAATAGTGAAAAAAAGACTGAAAGAGTGCCTACAGTATTCAGTATTCAGTTCAGCGTGTGATAATGACAGTGATGATCATGATGGTGATGGTGTGGTGATGATAATCGTAATAATATCACAACTATTGTTGAGCGAACTTTGCACAATCATAGGAAGGAAGAAAGGAGAACTA